AACTGCATTTTCAGGCTGGTTTTCAGAACTCGCGTTTTCTTGTCAAGGTTGTTGTGCATTTAAATAGCAGTCACTAAAAACGTGGGGGCTTGACCCAGAGCTGGGCTCTCTGAAGCCCCCAGGAACATCCGGAAGCTGTCCCCGCCATGTTTACACACGGACGCTTTGGGCTTTGATTGACGACACGGAGGTTTGCTGCTGAGGAGGAGCTCGGCCTTAAAACTGAAACCGAGCCCCCTCCCAGGAAGGACCCCAGTATTTTTCATTCTGGACCCTGCTGTCCCACGTTACCCATAATCGAGGGCCAGAAGGAAAGGTCGCGCCTGCTAGGGCCGAGGCTGGGACTCGGGCGCGGGAGGGATCTGTTTGAAGCCAGCGCTCTTGCCTTGGAGTGTGGCCACTTGACCTCGGGCGGAGGCGGGCGAGCACCTCGGAATCACAGCGCGGTTTGACGAGGTGTCTCTTCTCAGGGCCAGTCAGGGTCCCGCCTTCCGGCGCGCAGTGGCTCAGTACTCTAGCGCCGGCAAAACCAAGCCCTGGAACGGTCTAAAACGTGGTGATTGCAAACATTCCTGTGCGGGGTTCCCGAGATGCCGAGAAGTGGGTGATTTCAAACACGTGACAGCCACGTCGACGGGCGCGCCGTTGAAACAGCTCATAGTTTCCTTTTTCTCCTCGATTGCCGGGGCGCACCTGCCAAGCCCACCGCGTTTCTGAGGAGACGATCTATTTCCTCTTTGACCAGAGGGAGAGAAATCATTATTGCATGATGAGTGGCTTCGGTTAGGTGAAGGCAACAGTGGCAGGAAAGGCGGGAGGAGGCGCTGTATTAATTACCTAGCGCTCGCTGGCGGGATAATTTCATCGGTGGTGTGGCCACTGCTAAGTCACGGCTTTTGATAGAAGTGGGTGAGCTCTTAGCGACGTGGGGACGTGAGGGAAGGCATGGTGTCAGATGAAGTGCATCTCATCAGCTTTTCTCTGACAAACCAAATTCATTCCTTATGTAATTGATAACGGCCTTGGCCAATTATTTCACACATTACAATACACAGAGGCCCCCTTTGCAGGTTTTGCAGGGCTGTAATTAGCTATGCTAATATCCCCTTTATTGGCCCTAATATTGCTCAACACCTTTTGCCATCCTGGAACCCACTAGAGCCCCATGGCCTGTCAGGACCGCTGATTATTGAGAAGGATAGCTTTAATCAAACATAATTGCAGTTAATTTTTCTCTCCTGCTCTCTGTTGCCAGCGTCTAATGCCACGGACTCCTTGATATTCCATTAAATTACAATTAAACAGCCTCCTTTGTTTCTGATTGTCCTGAACAACACCACAAAGTTCTGTAGCCGTTTAGAGGAGAGCTGTTTGGTCCTAATTGCCTGCTAGCTCACAAAGGGCCAATTTACACAATACCCATGTAGAATTTAAACAGTTCATAATGTAATGGATATTACACAGGAGCCTAACACTACAATTAAAATGATTTTCATCAGATAGAGAAGCTCTGGTTAATCAGCTTCATAAAAGTAAATATAAATGAACTAATTCATAGCTTAAACACACAGAAATGGAGCAGACTTTGAAATCAGTTACTGCGGTGGGGCTTTGCCCCTTGTTGCGAGATACCCAGATTGGGCTCTGGTTAAAACGGTTGCTCCCGTTATCTGTTTTAGCCCAGTTTAAAGTGTCCTCATTCCGACGCTTTGCGCTGGCCTGAGCGCTAGGGCGGCTTGATGGGACTCTGACACAAACGCGATCAAGAACAAACTTCTGACTTTCCTCACTGGGCGTAGCAGTGGCCACGCTGTTTGCAGCAGTTGGAGAATCGTCCCAGCAGGAGTGAGGGCCTTGGCGGTTCCGGCTTAAGGTCAAGACATCGTGATGAGGCCCAGGTGTTGCTCCGACACCGTCTTCCCAGGCACAGGGCAGACCGTGCCCCCTCGGTCCATCTTTGCAGGGTGCTCAGGAGTTAGACGAGGCCTCCTGGAACCTGTCCCTCCAAGGATGGACACGGTTGCCCATATGGCGCTGTTCTGATCCCTGCGCGCTGCGAGGGAGGAAACCTCATTTCAGAAGTAATAAGATCACACCTTTCCCCCTTCTAATGGCTCCTGAGAACTTCCCAGGATTTTGAAAGCGGTTTCCAAGTAGACTGTTGCTGGAGAGCCGCCGCTGATGTGTAGCAGTTTGTCTTTCCCTGCTCTCTTCCCCTCTGCCTGGGAGAAACAAGTAAATAAAGCCCATATTTCAAGCTTGATTTACTCTGGTACCTACTGTGAAAGATGATGACTCTTTAGGGAAATAAAGACAGGGTCAGGGAATTAGTGCACATAATGGTCATTTTGATGACGGGCCAACAGATGCAACAGGAAACACACTGTACACAATTAGGCGTAATGTACTAATGACAGGTTAGAATTTTTATCGCCTCTTTGCGATCGAGCAGCAAGTCCATGTTTAGCGGTAATAAAGAATTTATTGGTGCTAAAGCCAAAGATTTTCTGACATAGAAAAGATTTTTCCTTTCATAACAAGAGTATTAAATTCTTTGTGTACCAGACTCTAGAAGTGAGATATGTAAAGCGGCTGTCGGATATTTCTTAGGAAAAAGCCAATTAAAGGGTAATTGAGTAAAGGATGAGAATTACCATTTGACTCCGCATGTCGGGCGTTTGGGTGTCTCACCCGCCCAGGCATTGTCACAGTGCGTTCACTGAGCACGTGCCAGCTGGGAGCACACGCCTGCTCCGTGCGTCACCGTACACGGCGCCGGCGGGCGCGCACGGGCTGTGCTGTGCTTCACCTGGCGAAGGCTTATCTGGGCCCTGCGCTAAACGTAACCCACACGGGCGAAAAGCGAGTGCAGAGCTCCTCTTCTCCCTGCTGAGGCCTCCTTTCTGTCTGTCCCTACAGATGTCCCAATAACCTGGGGGGGGTCAGTTGACTTGACTACTGTGCTTACTTTGTGTTTCGGGGACCTGTGTGCTTAAAAGGGTCCTGCTTGCTAGGGTTGTGCACTGCAGCTCTTAAGCACTAGCAGTGCTTTTTAGATACTTTAGATAGAAGCAGAAACCATCATTGCCATATCCAAAATAGGGAGTGCGTGTACATGTGCGTGGCATGTGTGTGTGCATGTATGTACCTGCACTTTCTCCAGAGTCGACCACACGTATGCTCAGCATGTTTCTGGGGCCCAGCACCCAACTTTGTCCTGCTGATTTCTGTAGTTGACGATAGTTAAGGCCCAGGAATGCCAAAATCAGCTCATCATGGCAGTGCAAGGGCAGAAGCTATTTAGGGTGTCTTCAGAACCCGCTCTGCTCTCTCGGAAGTAGAAGGATGAACTGGCTAAAAAGACATCAAGGAATTTAAAGAAGCCTCCTCTAGAGGAGGAAAAAATCGTTCGTATCACAAACAAAGCTCCCGTGGCCGGCTCCGCGCAGGTACATCTATAGACGCGCTGCCTCCCCGGCCGCGCCTGCTCCAAAGATTAGCCGGGCGGTGATGTGTGGTATAATTGCACGGTGTGGCTGTCCCCGAAGTGAAAACCTAATTGCCTGACAGGACGATAAGTTTGTGGCGCCCTCACCTTGTTAGGCCCTTTCTGATGCAGTTCCGACACGGCGTGGCCGCAGGTGCGCCTAATTTACCTCGCTGCAGAACGCATGGCGTTTAATTGCACGGCGGTTGTTAGGAAAAATTGGTGGGTGGAATATCGAGTGACTCACTGTACGCCAGTGGCAGATGGTGTTAAGAGACGCTGCGAGCTGAGTGTGTAGGTGAGGTGAGTTAATAAAAGATGCAAATTCTGGCCTAAAATAGTGAGGCCGTGTGGTACGTTAAGAAAACTTAATTAAGGGGCCACATTCTTTTCCCCATCAATTGGATTTTCTTCTGCCGTGGTAAAAAGCCATCCAGGAGATGTTGGGAATGCAGTTAGAGACGCGTCTTTTTATTTTCCGTGATCAGGATTGCCGATGAGGAACCTGGAACATGAGATTGAATTTAAGGAAAGCGGGCGGAACTTCCTAAACGATGCGTAATCGCCAAGTAGGACGGATGAGAGTCTGGGGGTTTTGTTTATGACCTTGCTGCACAGGATGCTTAGATACCTGGAGGGAGCAGACAGCGGAGCACGCAGGGATGGGAAGGACAGCGCGATGACGTTTCTGTCACAGCCTCTCAACACACTGTCAGGACCCCCGAATCCCTGTGCCGCGCAACGCAAGGGCAGGGCTTGGCAGGAAGTGGAAACGGCGCGCACATCTGGCCTCGCCGCCCGACCCTGCTGCCCTCTGCTCTCTGCCCGAGTAAAGGTTTCACTGCCTTGTCAAGAATCATTGATTATTCCCCCAAAACCACACAGAGACCTTTCACAGAAACCATTGCAGCTCTTGAAACAATACTCTCTCCACCCCCAGTCCTCTCTTAAGAGATGTACCTATTGCAACTTTTAAAATCCATGTTTGGGCAGTGGTGTCTTCTGGAGTTGGGGTTGCCAGGTGAAAAATACAGCACGACCAGCAAAGTTTCAATTTTGGGCAAACGACTATTTTTTAGTGTAGATAGGCTTTGGGATGTACCTGTATTGGAAAATTATTTGTTGTTTATCCGAAACCCAGATTTAACAAGGCACCCTGCATTTTACTGGCTGGAGCTGGCAGCCTTGTCCGGGGTGGGTATTTCCCCCAGTGGTTAGTGGGCTGTGCAAAGATCCAGGCAAGCCATGGCCAAGCTGGGAGTCGCAGTTGCTGTTGTCATAAGGTGTGGAGGTCTGTAACATCAAGACGGATGCAAGTCACTGCCTCACCTGTGGCCAGAGTCCCAGGGCCCTGCCTGCCCCCCACGCTCAGTCTCTTCTCCACGTGGACCCTACGGGCAGATGGCAGGAGTTGTGGGCTGTCTCTACTGTTCCCCTGCTAGAGTGTCTTTTGAAGAGTTTGTGTCTTTTGTCTGATGACCCTAACAAATATCCCTTTCTTTGTATTTTTATAGATTCTTTCTAAAGTTTTTCCTCAAGTGCAATCAGAACTGTTTGAAGAATGCAGGCAACCCTCGAGATATGCGGCGATTTCAGGTATCAATTTCGCAAAGACGCACAGACCGTCCTGACTTTTCATGTGAAACTTTCTGGTTTTGCAGTTGCTCAGGAGGTAATCCTTACTTCTTTAAGGGTCTGGGAGCAAACTGGAATCGGTTCATTTGTTAAAATACATCAATAAAATGCTTTTGAGACGATCTGGTATCTCTGGGTATGCCAGATTCACCAAGCCTAGCCATGGCCCACGATAGACCGAGGTCAGCTTTGCACGTGTGGCCCAGGCCGAAGATCTGAGGCTAGATGGGCTGGTGAGCTTCTGTGGGACGAGCCCTAATGCAGCCTTTTGGGCAAACTCGAGATCTTGGGCTCTGCTCATGAAGGGTCTGCACCTGCTTGACACAGGCCTCTGCAAATTCCAAAACATTTTCCTACCCCCACTTTCCTTCCCCTGAGGTCTAACGTGTTCTTATTTCCTTAATTCCATGCCCAGTTGCTAGTCTGTTCTGGATCCGGGCTAAGTCCTGGCGCTGGTTTGCCTCAGGGTTTCGTCTGAAGGCGAGAGGGAGCGAGCTGGTTGGGTGCAGGGACAGATTATGATAACGGGTCATAGTTTCCTTGGCTTTGTCAACGATTAGGAGGAGACTTCAGGGTCAAAAGCAGTCTGCACACCTGATGGATAACTTTTCTGGTTTTAATTGTAAAAATATTCTGGCCTGGGACACAAAACTGCTGCTGGTACCTCCCAACCAGGGAAGGGTTTGGTGGCCAATAGCACCACTGCTAGACTGGATGAATGATCCAAGGACCAAATGATTCCTACTTGGAATTTAGACGATTTTTCCATCAAGTTGCTCAAAATGTTTTTTAGAAATTTAACCTCCGCTTTGGTCCTTTGGCAAAACCCTTGACAGACATCTGTCTGCGGGCCCAGGCAGCCGGGCAGAGAGGGCAGGCCGGCCCGCAGCGGTGAGCGGTGGCTGGGGATGGCGCTTCCTGCACACGGTTGGGCCTGCTTCCATTTCTCACGCACAAGGCTTCACGGGGCACTGGTGATATTGATCCGTCTAAGCAGAGTGGAGGTCGCCCTGGGCCGAGGGGCCACGTCCTTTGTCCTGATGCAGCATCCGTCACAAGTGATCTCCTGGTCGACTGAGGAGCCCGTAGTTACTAGAAGGACTTCCTCTGGTCTCTTCAGCTAATCTCCTGCCTCTCAGAAGGTTTAACTGGACTTAAGAGCACGTCAGGGCTTACACGACATTCTCAGCTGGTTTCACAGCCTCGGCACCTTTTTGCAGGTGCACCGCGGGCCTGGCCTGGCCAGGAACGGAACGCAGCTTCTCTGCTTTCTCAGCTCAACGCGACTCTTCTCCCTTGGCGGCTGACCTATATATAGACGACAGAGCAAAGACTGTCTTTTTTAAAATTTTAATGTTTATTTCTATCTTTTCGTGGTTTTTTTTTTTAAACATATCATGGTTTAGGAACTTAAAAAGGGTCATCATTTCTGTGCCTTGGTATCAGTCACGTATCTTTGCACCACACTCAGATGACCTGTTCCCTCCATGCCCAGGGTGGGGCCAGACCACCAGGAGGGCACCTTGATGAACAGGAGCAGCCCCTGATCTCCATGCACAGGCTGCCAGCGCTCTAGTGGCACCAAAGTGGCAGCAGAGCCACCTCCCGCCAGGGATCCAAAGGGCAATGCCAGTGGGCGTAGTCAGAAGATGCTGAGATTCCTGAAACCAGACCTGGGGTCACTGCGGCTGCACTGACAGCATTTCAAGGTTTAGTGTGGCCTGATGTTGTCGGAACATCAACGTTCTTGGCAGTGCCCAAGGGGAAGAGAATTGTCAGGGAAGCTGCCCCGATAGGGAGCTTTGTGGGGGAGGATGCAACGTGTCCCACCCCTGCTTCTTAATCTTCTCGTGGGGCTTGGGATTTAAAAAAAATAATCAGTCGCCCACATGTATTCACATGTAAGGATGTAGTTTTGGCTTTTTAAAAACTCCTTAAAATACTGTTTGTTTATTTTTAATCACTTCTATTCATCTTTTATTAGTTAATTTATTTCATTAATAGGCTTTATTTTTCTTAGAACAGTTTTAGGTTTACCGAAAAATTTCACAGAAAGCATGAAGAGCTCCCCTTCCTGCAGTGTCCCCCATCCTTCACCTCCCCCGTTGGTGGGTGGGCTCATTCCTTACCTCTGATGAACAACACGGACACGCTAGCGTTCACCAAGGCCCTCTGTGGCCTTGGCTTCCAATAGTTCATTGTACGTGGCGTGGTGTTCAGCTTGTCCGGATCTTGCTGGGGAACCCTTCTGGCTCTGCCCGCTCCCCTGCGGTCCAGTTCTCTGTAGGGCATGGTTCTCTGGGCTGGTGCTGACCCAAAGACCTGGCCCAGTCCGCCCAGATCTAACCGTGGCACGGAGCCACGCTTCCTTCACGCCAGTCCTGGCTCACGTCCTGGGAATCCCGGTGCAAGACCCAGGTTAAACGTGGGCTCGGAGCTTTGCCACGCCAGCTAGTCTGGAATTAACGCACCACGTGGCCCACCTCTGTTAGATCCCAAGGCCAGGTTGTCATTTCCTGCTTCCTGGGTCCACAAGGGGACCTTTTCCGGGATGCTTGTTACAGCTCACCTGGGAAGGCAGCTCTGTGTGGCATGATCCTTTTTGCCTCTACCAGGAGGCCGCTGACCGTTCAAGGAAGGAGGCCTGATCTGTCCTCTCTCCCTGGCCATCCTCCGAGCCTGGACCCATGCGTGGGCGCCTTTCACTCCAACAGAAAGGGCATTGCTGGCATAGCAGGATGCTTGCCACCCTCTGCAGTGAACTTGAGAAACATTTCCGCTATTCATACTCAACTTGGTCTTTTCAGATGCAAAAAAGTTCATTACCAGACATCCAGCGTAATTGTAAAATTGACCCAGGGATCACTTACTGGTTAAATGTGGGTAGCAGGAATGTTCCTGATTTATGAAGCCTTTTTTGGGCAACTCGGAATGCTCCCAGCTCTTCAAGGAAGGATGGTCTCAAGTGAACTAATTTTAATTAGATAAACTATCTAATCAATATGTGAACAGATCAATCAAAGCAGCGGCTTTAAAATGAGTGGCTAGAGGGGTGTTTCTGAAGCTAATGGCTAGAAGAATATTTCTCTGAATTGAATTCACTTGTTAGCATAATAGGAGATTAAACTGTAATTAGTGGAGCAGGTTTTGAAGGGAAGCAATCTTGAGTCAAAACAAAACAAAACAACCCACCCACCCCCATTAGCCAAAAAAGCTGTGAATGCAAATCACAGTGGAGCATTTCCAGGAACAAGTGAAGTTTCGCAGCGTTCGCGACGGCTTTCGCTTTGCCTCGCGGGTGGCTGGGCTTTTCCTCCGCCAACTCCATTTTCAAATCCACTTCATCTTCGCAGGTTGTTGTATCGACAACGGTCAACGTGGACGGCCACGTGCTGGCCGTGTCAGACAACATGTTTGTGCACAACAATTCCAAACACGGGAGGCGGGCCCGCCGCCTAGACCCGTCAGAAGGTACGGCCCCTTCTTATCTGGAAAATGGTAGGCACATGTTACATGTCTTTTTTTTTATTTGCGATGCTTCTTTTTCTTTGCACCATCCTTTATGTTGATTCCTGTGGAGTTGCTCACACCAGGCCTGCCTTGGGCAGCCCTCCGGAGCCCAGGCAGGATGAGGGCGCGTCCCCACGGCGGGGAGGGAGACGGGCCTCGCGCACTCTCCTCCTCCTCTCCCTTATCTCTGCTCGGTGCACACCTCACCTGCCACGGCCTTCATGCAACTGGTTTGTTTGTTTCTGAGCTTTCTTTCACTTACAGCTTTTCTCGCAATTTTAATTCATCGGTTTTACGTTGGCTTGTCGGAAGCTCCCACGCAGTAGCCCATCCCCAGATGCCTTGTATGTTTCAGTGGGTGGTCACGTCCTGGTCCAGCCAGCTTAGAAGGGGCTGCCAGGACCACTTCCTGTCCCTGGTTGGAGTGCGCGCGCGTGTGTGTGTGGTGCGTGCATGTGTGTACGTGTGTGTGTGTGCTTGAGAGTGGGGTGGGGTCGGTGAGTGGGTGGGTGGGTGGGTGAGGTAAAAAGTCAGCATAAAATGTTTCTTTAAAAACCAAATGCTTCCAATCGATCGACTTCTCGGTTTGCTTGTTCAAAGAGAAGAGTGTCCGTAAGAGTGGATGACAGGGGGCTGTGTTCTTGGACATGGAGTTGGAATTTAGAAAGGTGCAGACACAGTGGGCCTCATACCCAGCCCCTCAGTACAGCCTGCTTCCGGCGTAGGTGCAGGACCCACAACTAAACACACCCCCTTTAAAATAAGATCATCTCCTCCATTAACTGTTTCATAATGACCGTGAGATTCTGACCAATGTGAATTGTTGAGAAAGACACGTGAGTGTTTTTTTAAAAAGTGAATTGCGAACAAAACAGCACGATTAAATCCTTTAGAGCAAAGAGCCCATAAAACTACGTGGTTTTAAGACAAATCTCCTATCCTGGGGCCCCGCATTCAAGAGTCACGCATGAGGCAGGCGGACACGGACACAGGGAAGTGAATGGAGCATGTGCAGGTTTTCAGAATGAAATATGATTCAGATATAAAAACGGGAAGACAATTTATGGATCTGCTGTGGTCCACAAAAATAAACTAATTTGTTTTTCTACATTAATGACTAAGGTATAAGAGAACAAAAATATAATAATTAAAGGTCGCCCTGAGCACCAGAGTCATTAGAGTCTGTGACGTATTGTTTATCTCCTTCCTCTGCGCTGAAGGTAGGTGTGTGTTTTGCTTAGCAACCATCACTAATGAGGTTCACAATTAAGAAGGTTGAATCCCCGGCCCTCGGTTCCCCGCGTCCCCAGAGAGCGAGCGTGCAACGCGATAGGTTCAAGGAGGCCTCCTCAGCCCTCTGGTGTTAGGTTGTAGTCTGGGTCCAAAATCAGCCTCTTCTAATGAGCTATTATGATCTGAGCAAAGTACAAGTATTTATTTTTGTAAGTAGCATGAAAAAGCATTTGACTGTAAGCAGAAAATGCAGCATTTAGAAAAATAAAGGCCACTAGTGGGTACCTTGGAGATAAAACCCAACTCATCAAAGGCTATTTGCAGAAGCTGTCTTGCTCAGGATTTTTTTATGTTTGTTTCTCAGTATTTTATCAACATTTAAACCAGTCACTTTCTTGCAGGAGATGGAAATAGCTTGTCCCGCCCTAGAAAGGGACGACTCATTTTAAAATGCAAGTAGGTGCCTCTGAGGACCAGCACGAACAGGCTTTCCAGAAAAAGGCACTCATCGTGGAGAGTAGGGTTATGTTATTTTTCTGTAATTAATGCCCAGTTATCAAGTGCCCTAGAAGAAGAACAACAGAGCTCTCGGTCATGCCTCTGTCACTTCCTGAGAGAGTGGACACTGAGGAAGTTCTGTTTGGGTCTGGCGGTGTCGCTCCAGAGGCCCACTCACCTCCTTCCGCCCGGTGAGGTCAGTACACATCGCAGGGGTGGGAGGCTGGCCTGGAATTGGCCCCTCCTCCTTTAAGGAGAAAGTGCCCCCCAAAACCACAGATCCGTGCTTCCGTGCAGCCTCGACCAGCTAACACCTCATTATCCAATCATCTAATATTCACCAGCAGTGTGTACACACTCGCCGATGGTTTCCAAGTAAACGAATTCCCCCTGCTGCTGCTGTGGATGTCTGCCACGGCGTCCTTTGAGCTCACAAAAAGCAAGGCAGATTATTTACAGTCTTGAACACGAGTGAGGGAAAACAACCATTCTGCCTTCCAGCACAGCACAGTAGAACTCGGGCTTTAATTTTTTTTCCTTGTCACTTGTCCCCTCCTAAACGACTCCAGCCCTGTTTAAACCTCACTCGAGCCCTGCCCAGCACCCGGCCTGCAGCACAGAGGCGATTTGCATGCCAAGTGCCGTAATGCGGTTAGGTTTATGCAATAAGGACAACCGAATCCAGGCTGCGGGGCTTTAGCGAGTTAAAGCGAACAGATGGCCCTAGGAGAGGTAAAGGTATAATCCTATCAGCTGGAGTATCAGCCAGCCATCTGGACATCCCAAGCACAATTACAAGACATTTTAGCAGGCAGAACAAAGAAGTCTTCATGAGGCAAGATTAGGCCTGTTTGAGTGCCTCAGTATTGTGGATGCCGAGGAAGGTGACAATGCTGTGATATTACTCGGGAGAGCTTGCTGATTAGCAGGAGCCAGGACCAGGAGGCTGTTTACTGATAGAACACTGGGCATGGTGGAGAGACCCCCAAAGAAAGGAAGGAAAAACCGACTATTTTGGTCAATAGCACTGGTTTCTAAGTGGAGTCACCCCCAGCCCCTGGGCTCCTGGCCCCAAGATGAGCCCATCTGCACGGACCGGAGGAGAAAGCTGGCAGGGTCATCGGCGTCACAGAGGGTGTTCTTAGCAAGCGCCTCTTCTCCCAAGTAGGCTGAGAGCATCCTCAGAGTTAAAAGCAGGTCATACTGGGGCATGCCAGATGCGCGGGGGAGACACCACGCTTCCTTCTCGTGGACCCTGGCGGCCCTGGGCCACGCCGAGAGCTCGCAGACCAGGATCTGCCTTCCGGGGTGCTCCCCACAATGCAGCCTGGCCCGGGAGAGAGACGGGGGGCTCCGTCACCCCACCGTGTTTCTGTTCATCTTCTGCCATCTTCAGCTGCCGGGCCAGCTCCTGTCATCTGCTTGAGTGTATTGTGCACCGTATATCATTAGATCTCTAACGCTGTCTGTGTAATTCATTTTGCTATGGTTCCCACTGAACACATGTTCCCTCTCTATATGTGCATTGAAATGCATGCAAATGCAGGCAGAAGGAAGATGGCTATCGGTGGCCAGGAGGCCGAGGCAGGCCCGGGCTTTCTTTCCGCTGAGCAGCACCGCACATTCCGAGGTGATGTGGCTTTCCACTGGGCCGCAGCTGCCAGAGAGCAATCTCTTGTGCACGCAGGAGATCCTGGAATCTTTTTTTCTTTTCTCACCTCCAAAGTAAATTTGTTTACTGTAATTTTTTTTTTTTTTTGTGAATTATTTGCCATAATTGGCTGTGCTGATGAAGGTCACCCCCTCGGAGGAGACTTGTCAGTCTTTAGAGAGCTGATCCTTTTCAAATGCTCTCCATGCAATTAAGAAAAGCAAATGTCATTCGGAAGCCTCAGAAATGAAAATTTGTATGAACTTATTAGCATGAAGTCAACAGCGCTAGTTAAGGGCAGGTTCCCAGTGTGTGCTTTGTGCCTCTGCTGCGGAGGGAGATGCGCGTGGAATGAGCAAATATAACCCCCGCTAGTCCGACATTAAAGCAAACAAAGGAAGGTGGCATGTCGGCGGTGTGCTAAACAACAATAGCTAATGGTGATTAACTAGACAGTGTCTGCGAAGTGCTGCCTCTGACCCGTCAGGGAAACCACGGCACGCAGGCTTCCGGAAAACTCCTGCTTATGAAGACGCGTGACCAGATCTGACCCAGAGTCTAAAAAGATGATTTATCTGAAGCCGAGCTACACAGGGGCTCAAATAAGATGAACAACCTAATAAGGCCCCACGATGTCTTTCGGAGGGCTCTCGTACGCAGCCGTAGCGCCATGAGGGAGCGGAGCCAGGAGCTGGGGTGGCGTGGTTAAGCCACTTCTTGTTTATCAAGCTTAGTTACTACCTTTTTGGACAAATATCCCCTAAGGTGGTTATGAGCGATGGAAGAGCACCAAACTGACGCGGGTGCCCCTTGGGCCTGGGGTCGGGTTCCTGGAGCTGCGGCTTACCTTCACAGCCCACCCCCCACCCCAGCGAAGCCAGGAGGAAGGAGGGATGGCACCCCAGTGTCCCAGGGCTTGGTGTGGGGGATCCCTCCTCTCTCGGAGGACTGAGGCCTGGCGAGGGGGGTGATTGTGTCCAGACGTCAGCAGGGAGACCTGGCACGTCCCGGGGCACAGTCATCCGTCCCCCGGGCCCACACGGCCTGTTCTTTGTAGTTTGCCCCAAAGGTGGAGTAGGCCTGCGGGTCCCGAGGACAGCGGCCCGCCCAGGCAGGGGCGCCTGCAGGTGAGAGAGGCCAGAGCCTTTCCCGTGGCGGGAAGCGGGCGTCGCAGGGGCACCTCCTTTGCAGGGGAGCCCGCGTACAACAGGCCATCAAAGGCGGTTACAAAGGTCCACGAACACCGTGTAAAGGAAGAGCTGATCAAAGCCCAGAACAAAGCGGGCCTCCGCGAGGCCTGCAGCCTCCAGCCCCGGCCTGGCCTCCCTGCCCAGGGCTTCCGAGAGCCCGTGCTGGGCCTCCCGCCTGCCCGGCTCCCCGGGCTGTGGCCTCTGGGCCCCTCCCCCACCGTCCTTCTGCCGTCTGCGTGCCCCCAGCAGGGCCGCCTGGCGGGTGCAGCGCCATTGTAATAACTCATGCAAATGTGAGGGCTCCTGAGACAAAGGGAGGTCAGGCCAGTGGCTCGGGGATTCCTGTCGACAAACAATATTAGATGTAAAATGTGTACCTTTGACAAAAGTATTAATATAGTGCTTTTGATTTTTTTCTTCCTGATGAAAAGTGAAAAGTAGTAATTGTGGAGTGACAGAGGAAAATGAAGTTTTGAACCAAAAGGCAAAGTTCGCGGATGAAAAAACCCAACCCAATTAGCTGCTTATGAGGAATCGAAATGCAAGGCGTTTGCTCTTCCATCTCCTTCAACAACCTTTTGATTGACTCTGCTTAGATCTGTACAGCAAGGCAGATAAATCGACACGCCACATGCATGTGATGCTTAATCATTTGTAATAGTCATATTTGCCCTGACACATAATTTGCTATTTCAAGCCATTTTTTTTTCTCGCTCACTAGTATTCCGCAGCTCGGCCTTTGCTTTATAAAACATTTAATAGTTTGCTTTAAACACATCAACATGCTGATCTACGATTGCCCTTTGCGCACCGCCTGGAGGAGCGGCGGCGGCACGCCTCTCCTCCCGCGGCGGCCGGTGGCCGATGGCCCAGCGTGGCGGCGGGCTGCGCTCTAAGTCGCGTTCTCTGTCTTGTGCGAGCAGCCACTCCCTGCATCAAGGCCATCAGTCCCAGTGAAGGCTGGACCACGGGGGGCGCCACCGTGATCATAATCGGAGACAACTTCTTCGACGGGCTCCAGGTGGTGTTCGGCACGATGTTGGTGTGGAGCGAGGTAAGCCTGCGACGTCGGCCCGCCCGGCGCTGCGGCCGTTTGCACGAGCTGCCGATAGGGTGTTGACACGGGGCACCCCCTGGCAGAACCCCCTTTTAACGGACAGTTCGCCCGCGTCAGGGGTTTCTCCCGTGGTGGGTATAGGATGCCCCCATCCCATAACCCTTGGGTTTAAAACCTGCGGTCGGAGGTCCCCCGTACACTGGAACAATTAGTGCCAGAATTACTAGACGCAGGTTTGAGGAAACATATGGTGGCAATTTTCATATGAATGATGCCCTGTGGCCTTTCCTGCAAACTAAAACCCAGGATCGTTTGCAGATATTTGTCTTAAGGAGCACTGTAGGTCCCGAGTCTCTGGGTGACAGCTAGAAGGGAGCATTCCGAGACGATGGTCCAATTTGTGCTCATTTTGGTAATTATGTCCAACTGGCAAGTGTCCGCCTCTCATGGCCAGCGCCACTGAACGCCTGTTCACTGTGTGGTTTTTGTAGCTGATAACACCCCACGCCATCCGAGTCCAGACGCCGCCGCGGCACATTCCTGGAGTTGTCGAAGTCACCCTCTCCTACAAGTCCAAGCAGTTCTGCAAAGGTGCTCCTGGCCGCTTTGTCTACACAGGTGAGTCCACCTTTCCAACTTCCACGGGAAAGCGGGGGATGCCTCGTGCCCAATAGGAGATGCTCGTGAGGGCAGCTTACGGCTGTGTGGACAGGTGCAGGGTTCTGTGGGGAGGATGGGCAAGGACCCCTTGGCCCACAGGCTGAGATCTGGCAGGTGTGTGGTTTCCACATCTTCGTCTGAGATGGTGCACGATACCGTGGACAGATGGAGCCCCCACAGCCGTGTGGCCTTGGGTATCCCCCACCCCCAGCTGTGGGCCTAAGCCTTCTCACCTGTGACACAGAGTGGTGGGGGTGGGGTTGTCAGTAACCACGGTAACCCCGGCTTTCATTGGCACAGTTGCCTGTGTGCCTGGCGCCGGGCCATTGCCCTGTGACGCTGCTGCTGCTCAGTTGCATGGGCTGAGGCTCAGCAAGGTGATGAAGCCACCAGCCCAGGCCATGCACCCAGTAAATGCAATGTAAGCCCACTCTGCCTTGCTCCAACCTCGGGTCTTGAACCCTACGTGACACGTCTCCTTAAAGGGGACCTGTGTTCTTCGAGGGTGCAGGGCAAAGTCCTGCCGGCAGGAAGGCTGATGTGTGCAGAGACAGGGATCTCTGCACAGGATTTGGTAGAGACAGGGGTCTCACTCTTGCTCAGGCTGGTCTCTAACTCCTGACCAAGCGATCCTCCCTCCTTGGCCTCCCAGGGTGCTAGGGTCATTGAGAAGTGTTTTTAAGGATGGACAGCACCTGCTGACACCCAGTGAAGGTGGAAGGGACAGGTACTTGTTAAATATTTGTGGCTCGACCTGTGTGCCAGTGAGTGGGTGACCGAAACCTGGGGTCCTGGGTGGCCCAAGGTCCATGGTGGGAGCCCGGACTGGGGGCATGTCACCTCCTGAAGGGTGATCATTGCGATGCAGTCCTCCTCTCCTCCGTCTGGCAAATGGGTGACACGGAGGGTGTCGGGGTCTCTTCCGCTTTGAGGTTCAAAGAGGTATCAGAAGTCATTCAACCTCTTCCCTTTTTTGGAAGGACTGCATGAGTAGGAAAGCCACGATGTCGGTCCTCCCACAGCCCGCTGACCAGCAGGCCCATGTCACCTCAGGGGTGCACCTGTATGGGTCCTCAGAGAGGGCCTGACTGCTGTCCCGGGGTGTCGGCCCGACTGCTCAGCACCCCTGCATGTGGCCAGGGTGGGAGGGATGGTGCCTGCCCCACGCCAGGGGCTGCTTTCAAACCCATGGGATCAGCACACAAAGAAGCAGGGGCCCGGAACTGCCAAAAGACCGCGGGGGAAGTGGGCGTAGCAAGATGCTGACGGGGCTTCACGGCCACTTCTGGGGCCTGAAAGTTCTTGGCCCCCTCGTAAGACCGGAGATTGAGAGAGGGCAGCTCCCTCAGTTTTTGCGGCTCCCAGTGTATTAAAAAATAAAGACAAGTCACGAGGGGTCGTAGCGATTGGGGTGTCTTTTAAGCACTTATATACTTCAGCAAGTAAGCGCTTTTGCTGTGCCGCAAAGTCCAGCCACCGTGGGTGCCAGGTCCCTGGGAGAGGCGAGAAGTCGGAATCCCGCCGTGGGCACGGGGTCCTCTCCAGCGCCCTTGCTGTGGGCCATGTTCGTGTGTTAGCTGCAGGCACACCTGTGCGCATTTCAACACGCCCCTCGTGTTAACCGTGGGAATCACACGTCCCTGAGTCTCTGGCCTGTAAACTTCAGGCTGCAGGGGCGGCAGGCCCTGTTCAAAGACCCAGGGTTTGCAGACAGACCCCACTCTACTCCGCGGGGTGTTGGCTGTGGGATCTGGGCACATGCTTCCTCTCTCCTCGGAGTCCCACTTCCCCTCGGTGCTCCCCGGAGGGTGTTGGTGAGACCCAGTGTGCAGTGTCTGAACCGTGGCGGGTACTCGGTAAACGGGACTTCCAGTAGAAAGTCAGTGACGTTGAACTTCGTCGGGGTCCGCAGGAATGCTGGGAGAGTCCTGAGCTCTTGGGAGGTGGGGACGTTTGTCATCTGCTCACGAGCCACGCGCTGGCACCTGTGCTGCAGCGGGTACGTGTCCGGGATGGGCTCCTGTGTGGGCTCATGTCTGCCCACGTGGTCCTGGTTTGTGGCACCAAAGTGTTCACGTGGTGCGTGCGGTGTCTGCACGTGGCAAGACTGCCCGCTTCTGCACAGAAACGGATGAATAAATCACTTGTTCTCGCATCGGACTGTCCAACCATCCCAGTTGAACTCTGGCGGATGCCTTCAGTGGATGCTTCCGTCAGTTCAGATCTTTGCACACAGGCTTTTCGGTGGGGAAGTCTGCATGGCTGTTGTTCGAGGGAGACTTTGTTTTTTTTTAGAAGAAACATGGCAGCTCCCTTCCCTGCCTTGCCTGCTGTGCGCTGAGGATGCTGTGCCCGGTGCTGCAGAGACAGGCCCTGGGCTGAGTGTGCGTGGACAGCGTGGTGTGCAGGGTGGGAGGGGCTGCCTGCCACTGGCTGGCAGTTGTCACATGGCAGAGCCCTGCAGTGGCAGCGTCCCCCGGTTCCCAGCTCTCCCAGGCCTTGCCTTCATTACTCTGCGGCCAGTGGGGTCGGCTCTCTCTGCAGCCCCTGGCCGTCTGCCCAGGTAGGATGACTTCCTTGGCCAGAGGTTTCCTCTTCAGATGTCTGGGTGTCCCCTCTCCTTCCCCCAAGGAAGCAGCGTCTCCCTGAGTTAGTTCCAGCCACCACCTGGCCTGCCCAGACACCCACCTCCCCCATCTGCAGTGGACATGGTGTCCTCCCAAAGGCAGCCTGGGCTTCGCAGGCACAAGTGCAGGGCCTGCCGCCCAGGGCTGTGTGTGGGGTTTCTTCTGTCCACATGTCCCCCAGGACTGGGTTTGCAGTGGGGCTCTTCAGGGAGCTCAACTTTCTGAGCTGGTGGCTAATGTATTGCCTGCCCCACACCCGTCATTATCGGGAATATACATTTCAAAGGTGATGTAAGGGGATGCGGCTCTACACTCTCTGGGAGCAGAGGAAAGGTGGGGTCATAACCTGTCTGACCTGGAAGCTTCTGTCTGATTTGCATTGCCCCGAAATTGATGGGGACAATGAGGTAATCACCGGGAACTGCGCTCCCTGCTGAAAGCTGAGCCAGCCCCTCTGGATGTCGGGAGGTGGGCGCCGTCCCTGGGGCGTCTGGTTCCCATCAGTGTCCCCCGCCCTGGGGGCTGTGGGACACCCTCACATTTAACCTTCCCTGCGTGAGGCAGGCTTGGGGCCGCCAGGCTGCAGGATAATGAACCTGTGCTCAGAGGAGGGGGCCGCCTGCCACCCTCCAGAGGCTGGGAGGGACTTTGTGAAAGGCCTAAATGATCTGTTTACAGTGATCTGAGAAACACCAGATTGTCCAGAACCAGACCCTATTAGTCAACCCAGAGTGGCCCTCGCCCTGCCCCACCCGGGAGGGGCTGGCAGGCAGGCCCCATCCATCCGTCCATCCATCCATCCAGGCCCTATGCCTGCTGCTCTCAACTCCTATAAAGACACAATTACCTTGGGAGGCTGTGGCAGTTCAGTTGATTAGCACGGTGAATTAAAAGAATGAGTCACAAATGACATGTCCAGCACTTCCATACTGGTTCTTTGTATTCCCCAAGTGCCTCACCCCTGTTGTAAGAAGGTCAAAAATTAGAGAGAGAGAACAATTTTCAAGCGGCTAGCACTTAGGAACAGAATTAACAATCACTCTGTATGTAATTGCCAGTTAATAGTAAATTGCCTTCTAGACTGTAAAATGCAATATAAACTGGTGGGCACCTAAAATTAAATTAATGAGATATTTGCTGCATTTAAAAGTGAATAGTGCAAATTAATAACTGAGTGCAATGCTTGTTTTAATATTTGTCTAGTAGTGTACCATTTTCTCGTTTAATAATAATTAAAATAGTCCCGAATATCCTACCTGAGAAACGGTGTAGGCAGATCGCGGCGTTTCACGTTCGTAATTCCAACGGTGGAAACACATCAGATTGTTAAGAGTAGTAGAGGAAATTATTTTTTAATTAGAATATAAGCATTACGATGCTATTTGATTAAGGCAGATTGGAATTTGTATGCTTCTAATTGAAATTGTGTTATCGAGAAAACTACTTTTACAGACGCGTTTTCGAGTGTGAACATCGTGGCCCCGGCATGTGTCACCGTCTCCTTACAGTGTCCCTTTGGCGGGACGGTTTCCTATTGGAAGAACTGAGGAGTTGGAGGTGGCTTGACTCGCATCAGAGTTCACGGGGTGCCAGGGACGCGGCTGGGGGCCCTGGCTGTCGACCTCGTGCACCCAGTGTTTGACGGACCGTCCCCGTGTTCTAGAGATTTCTTTTGCTCAATTAAAGAAATTATTACAAATTACTGGGAGTCAACATGTCATCTGCGACAGACTGAACCCAGTTACTGAACCAGATACTGGCGGTTGAGAGCAGACGCATCCAGAGTGGGCACTGCGCTCTTGCAGCCCAGCACCTGGACGGCTCCCAGGTCTGCGATGCGCTCACTAGACGGGAACATAAAAACTATGATTTTCTGCACAAAGACGTGCATTCAGTCTCAGCCTTGTGAAATCATTACTCAACTAGTAATTGCTAACAGTTTGTGTTCTTTCTGATATAGCATTTGTGTTTTTATTTTTTAAAAAAGTCAGATGGTGCCTTAAAACTGGTGACGTGTCGAGGGGGTGCCGCTCTGCTCTGCGAGGCTGTCCTGGCTCCGCCGGGGTGGGGGTTTCCCACCGCCGAACCCCACTCGACTTCACCCAGTGAAAGCGCACACGTTTCTGAAGTATCCTGAAGACCTTGTGTGCAGGTTCAGATGCGGTTCTGTTGACACCGTGGAGTCGGTGCTGCCCGCCGTCCACGGCCAGCGCCAGCTACCTGTCTCGCAGGCCGGTGCTTCGCACACAAATGCCTCGTGTCCACAGAGCAAATGATTCCTAATTGCCACCCACGAATCGTACTGTTTTTACTATGCTAAATGCTAATGCT